TTATACACCTTCTGACATATTATACACACATTCCAGTTAACAGGCTGACGGGTAGATCTTTGACTGCACGAGCTTGCATACTGACTGGAGTCCATGGATGTGCTAGGTTCTGCCATTGAACATGGACTGGAACTTCTTCCTTGATGCATAAATGGCTTTAGGTTGGTTTTGCTGTAGTAAGACTGGTGACATCGTGCATGATAATGTACTTGTGACAATGTCAATAATAAATCAATATCCAAAAACTATAATCTCTGATCAACATGCTCTCTTCTAGAAAGATATGCACAATGAAAAGACTTTAGTCCTGCTGGAGTTGCAGTCCTAAGCTGTTCAGGTGTCGAAACTTGGCAAATTATACACTTAGACCAGTCGCTAACCAGACGAGGTTTTTTCAGCCATTATTGTATTTCTTTATGTTCTTGCTGCTATCTGAATGGAGATTCAAATAAAACATAGAGTTACATCAGATTGTCATGACATGCAAAATTATTATATTTGTACACTTCTTTCTTATATAGTTTTTGCTTCTCGGCATAGTAGGGACAAATGATGATGACATACGTGATGCAGTTTTAATTTTTTTCCATATTAGGATTATTCAATACATCAACAAGATACTTGGGCTACATTTAACATGTATTAAATAATACTTTCATATATATGCCATATCTCAAACAAGTTCACGGTGACACAAAGCATAACGATGATATACCACAACTGATGGGGTACTTTGAAATTCCAAACTTTTGAAGATAAAAGATATAATTATTGCTTTGCTCAATGGATTTATTTTCATATCACAGTTATTGAAACTATTTTGCCAATTTCCTCAAAAAAATAGCACTATGACATACACAGCTGAATGTTTTTACTGTCACCTACTGCAAATATGATTTTGAATACTTATCATTGACCCATTATATTACATGTGACTAACTAAGTCGTCTTTAATTTTTGATTATCATTAAATGCTTTTAAAAACTAAATTTTATACTGCCACACATGTTTTCAAACATGGTATATATCTGTATAAAACAAGATCAAAATGGATGCGGTTTGAAAAAATTGAATAACAAATTTACTTACCTATACAAGCAGCATTCACACTGTGAATTTAGTAAACAATTTGTGTATAATGAAATATATAGTTCAGTTGGATAATAGTATCTCCAATTAACTGGATCTAGGTTTGTGTCTAAACATGATATTCACATGCATATACAAAGGGGTAATCGGTGTCTACAGGGGAAATTATCATTGGATTCTAGAAATATGAATAAATAGATAAAAAAGTCAATGAAGAATATTGAACAAGTTCACCGTTATAAAAAGAGTAACAACGTTATTTAAATTAAAGGGCAAGGCTTCTATGTTATTTCTATGTTTTTATACACTATGTGGGGATTATATATTTTAAACGAAAAATTAAATTTAAATCATAGTTGAGTTCATAAATTAAATGCACATGATGATAGTATGCACATTGAAAAATCATCGCATTTACTGCATTTTTTCAGAAATGAAAATAATAGAATTTTCATATGATTCAGAAAATCGTCCATACTTATAAATGTTACCACTGTGACAGACCACATCCACCCTAGATTCACTCATGGGGACCCACACAAAAAAAATGTCAAACCTTTTTCACAGGGGGGGGGTGCTACGAATTTCATTTTATAGGGGGCTTTGGCGTTTTGGCCCCCAGACTATATCCTTCCCTTCCCCCGTTTGTGATTGTTAGTCTGTTCATGTCGCCTAAAATGTGATTTTTGATTAGAAGGCAAGTTATCAAACAAGTTCAATCAAAATCTTGTTTCCTTCTTTTTTTCCTTTTATATATAAGAATGATGCTCCGAACTGATGACACAGCTGAATGAGACTGTTGAATCAAATCCATCGAAAGTTATCTGAAAAGTATGCACCAAATGACTTCATGTTGGTTGCATTTGTAAAATATTTCTACCTTCTGGGGGGGAGCACATCCCTTCTCAGACACCCCCTGTCCGTGGAAGCGCGGACATTGGCCGCTTATGCGGTCACAAAAGTGCCCCCCCCCCCCACTTTTCAGAATGGGTAGACGCTCCTGCAAGGTGTGAATATTATATTAACCAGCTGAGATCTTGCAGATACCTATAGTTTAATGCCTTGTTTTAGAACCATCTTTGTTCGTTCAAGTTTCTGTGATGTTGTATACCACCACCATGAAACGGTTTATTTAGCCATGGAGGTAACTTATGTCCCAATAGTTGAGAAGTGAGTTGTTTGACCTGTATCCCTTGGAAAAAAGTTTGCTCCGGCTTGGGACATATGGTTCAGTTGTTTGTTGACGCTGAAACTGGTCAATAGTTGAAGCGAGTCTGAGTTGCCCTGAGTCACAGTTAGTTTACCGATGCACACATCAAACAAAGGTCAGGAAATTGTGCAGAATTGTATAGAAGAGATTCGGGCGGATAGAGATAGCGGAGGCGAGGTAACAGTGGCTTGAGGAAGTGACGAGATTTATTATACTAAAATAAAACAGCATCTGACAAGTACAAGGACAATTTCTCAATTTATAGGGGAATGTCGCATTCTTGAATTTAGGCGGGAAGGGGATATATTACCTGTTTGTGATAGGTCAACAATGAAGGGATCTGATTGGCTAAAATATATGTGTTGTGGTAGGCTGAATCTTTCGTATGCAGAATCCAAAAGTTGCATTAAGCTCGAGTGCTTATAATGATTCCCGATAGAAATAATCCAGTATAAATAACACGACTGACTCGAATATGTCACTGTATATTGGTAATACAATGGCCCAGTATAGAAAATGACAACGTGCTCCGTAAATACTTTTCGTACAAACCATAAAAAAACAGCAAACAATATCTAATTAACCTAACCAATAGCCATTTTCATGATGGCGCGGCTTTTTGTCAAATACAGACATATATTTTGAATTGTTCCGCCAATTCATGAAACATTGGACAGATAAGACTGAAGTAAAATTCGTCGACTAAAGTATTTGGACACAATGGACAAACCTGGTCTGGCCAGATTCCCATGCCTACCTGTTTCAATGTTGAGTGTGTGTACATAAACATGGAATCTCAGTAAATTGTGTGTAAGAAATCCGTATTTATCAATACAGTTTAAATATTTTCCTTCGTATAAGACAATTTTAAATGTTTATACTGATCTAGTTTCGAATAACGGTTCAGTTCTTCCTGCCAACATTGAGAATCGATGTCACAGCATCGTGGTTCAAACGTTGTCAGGAAATAGTTCACACAACCCACGCCTTGATGAATTTATGATTCACCAAAACCAGACGAAACTTATACGCCCAGCACGGTTTTCCGGTATTTGCTTGGCCGTGTTGAAAACTTTGATAAACGTAACGATTTTGATTCATAGTCAGTATACGGGGCCAGTATTTTACAATTCTTACAAAACGACGCGATTCAAACTAAATTGGATTATTGGGAGAGACCAGCTGCATGACTGGTTCAGTATTAAATTAAATGGCGAATGACAACGGCTTGTGATCGGAATCTAGTCCACTTTAAATTTCAAGATGTAAATCGCTAAAAATGTAAATATGCCACCTGATGGAAGTATGTTGTCTACGACATTCGCACCAAGACCATTAATACAAGTTAAACCACACACGCACATGCACACGTCATTAACAATTCGTATAACAGATGTTTGGCATAACAGATTACTATATGCATTGAGTGTATTGAATGAATGTTATTGTTATGAATCGTATTTATTGAAACACTTATCCACATAATATCAGGTGAACAATGTGGGAGTTGTTGTACATTATACATGACACGAGCCTGGCATGTAATCCTAGTAGCGCCCTCGCCGGCCGAACGGCGTCAGACATCAGTGTTGGGTTTGGAACACCGCGGAGGGCGCAACTCACGCGACTCGTCAGACTAACATGACACTGTCTAGATAAATAAAACACAGATAATCAGCCAACGGTCTACCCATTATTACATCTTTTTTTTCGAGAATGGTATGAATGCTTTCAAAATTCGACAGTGAAATATGTATATCTGTGACACCGATTTCTCATTTAAAAACACCTAATCAAATCGAGAAAAATTGTGATGTAAGTAACAAACCAAATGTTAACTCTTTCTTTACGGTATTAATAAAGCATTATTCTATTCTATTC